TCCAGTTGCGAATGCAAGAAAATAAGACCATTTCATGCGCGCGGAAAATCGTGTGCGCCTTTCTGTCGTAAAACGTCAAGTGCGAAATAAAAGAAAAGAAGAAAAACGATTCTAATCATTTTTGACAAAAAAAAAAAAGATTTCTTTTTTATAGTCATTATAAATTGTTACAATTTATTTCATTATTGAAACATTATTATCATTTTACTTTGTTATTAAAACAAAGTCTCGAGTTTATACTCCCGACAGTTTTATCTCGTTTGCGAGAGAACTTCCACGCCTTGACGGGAATTCGGCGAACTATAAAAAGGGCGCGAAATTCAAATTACGCTAAAGAAAGGTAACAAAAGTTAAAGAAAATTTACAAAAGTAAATCAAACATTTACCTGATTTGAATACGATTTTTTTTGTGCGGTGCGCGTATTAATTTTTTTTTGGATCTGTGGCAAAAGGAAGAAGATAATAATTGGCGGGTAGATCTGATTAGCGGGGATTTTTTGAGTGAAGGAAAGATTGGCAAATGCGGATAGAGAGAGAGAGAGTGCAGCTGCGATGGAGCATGTTGCAGCTGCGACTCGTTCAATTTATACGCGAGCATGGCGAATTGGCAAAGACTGGGTGGTGTTATATGCGAAAAGCGATTCTCACAAGTGGAAAGGGTTGTCCGCTCTCAAGTGCCGGAGGATATCAGAATTCAGTACGCATATACGTGTGACTTATTTATACCTATATGAGCGTTAACGTCTCGACCTGTTAAAAATCGGATCGGTCACGGCTCAAGGAGACGAACAATGTCGTCGAGAGTGAATATGAACCAACATATATAGAAACTAAGTTATGAATATCTATATGTATATGAGAGAGTGAGAAGGAAAAACAGAAAGAGTGAGAGAGACAAGAAATAAGGACGAGGACATCAGCAGGACCCTCGACTCAGTTTAAACTGTCGCGATAAATGATCCTACAGAAGGTTATTAATTGTCTCTCTCCTTCTCTCCCGGCTCCCGTGGCGTGCATTGTGGATCGCGAAAACATTAACCGAAGGAGGTCCCCGAAAAAGCACTTCTGTCCCCGGGGCAAAAGACCATTTTTCAGTGGGGCCTCATAGTGCCCGATCGAGCGTCTCGAGAGTCTTAACAAAACCGTTCTTCTTCATCCATCATGAGGATCGTTAAAAACGCATCCCCGATACAAATTGTGCGAGTGCGATACCGTCATTGTTGTCTTCCATTTTTTCTCCCGATTTTCTGGATCAAAAAAAATGCTTTATTTATACTTTTTCTTTCCATACGGGGTCAAAATACAAAAGACTCTGTCTTTCTCTCTCACCCACCATCTCAGGGTGACTTGTACATCTTTTTGTGCGGTCTGTTTTTTTCTTCGAAAAAATTTGATATTCTCGAGATTCGATAAACTTGGAAGATTATTGTAATAATCCCAGAAGGATACAGAGTTAATTTTCCAGAAATACATTATGATAAGTTGGAAATATTTTTCAAGTTTTATATATATGAAATGGAGTAGAGTAAGGAGAAGTTTTTGAGGGAGATGAATTTCTTGTATTGTATAATAGGACGCATTGAAAAAACCAACATGACAATGGAGTTTACTAGGCCGAAACGTAACTACTTTGTCAGTATCATACGTTCCCTTTCTTCTTTTATTACGAGCAGAATGCTAAATTTCACTGTATGACACTTGGAGTCATTTTATTTCCTTCGTATATATACAGTTCTTCCATTATTCCCGCGGCTCTTTTTTTCTGAATACAACTCTCATTATGTCAAATCTTTAAAAAGTTGCTCTATTCTCTTCCTTTTTCCGAACAATATATAACAACAATTAAAATCTAGCATTCAATATGTATTATTGTAAATATCTATTTATTCATTTTGGCACATCATTTATGTTACTCTTTTGTAAAATGCTTTAAGTTTTTGTTGTTTTAAATTCTTTCAAAATTTGTTCATCTTTCTTTATCAATTCGTTGCAATTTGATACTTATTAAATTAACAGTGAATATAAAAGATAGCAGTTAAGTAATAATTGATAAAAGTTGTTTTAAATAATTTTGTAGCTTATAGGCCACAGAATTATTTAAAACATCTTTTATCTATTATTAAAGACTTATTCTTGAAAGTATCAAATTGATGCTTTTAAGTTAATAGTGAACGAGTTCTTCGTAACAATAATAATGATAATATTAGTAACAATAATTATACTATAGTAAGAATAATAATATTAGTAACAATAATTATACTATAGTAAGAATAATAATATTAGTTACAATAATAACAATAATGATTGTAGCAATAACATAATGAAAGTAATAAAAAACTATAAGCAAAAAGCCCGCAAGAGAAATCGTCAAAGAATTCATAAATCCAGTTTGACGTGATCATCTATTAAGTGACAATCGATACATTGCGGTTTCTCTGATCCGAAACTGGTCTTAAATTAAACGATCGATTTCGTGCGTCTCGCCTGAGGATCCGATGTAAATCACACACGCGAGCTCTCATGACACCTCGACCCTGTGATCATTACCAAACACCGCTTAAATATATATATATACACACAGAATATATCGGTGAACGGATGCTGGACCACGATGATGATTAGAATTAGCCTTAATAAGTCTCTCCTTACTTCACCTAATTTCACTAATTACGTCTCTTGCGCAATTATCAGCTCACTTCATATTCATCCTTACAGCTTCTTCGTATTTCTTCCATCTCTTCTCTCTACTATTTCTCTCTCTTCTCTAATCTATAAATCTCTCTCTTTTTTCTACTCTAATCCACTATCTCTTTTTTATACTCTACTCATTTCTCCCCTCTCTCTCTCTATCTTTTGAGATATATATAAATCTTAAGAGAGAAAGAGAGAGAAATACGCTGCACTAATGATTACTTCTTAACATTCTCAACGATCAGGAAGCGCAATGACGAAATGAATGTAAATGAGAAGCAAAAAAGGAAAAGGGTTAAAACCATACGAGGGTTTCAAATCGCAGTGTGCCAAAAAAAAGGGGGAAGCGAAATTTATATTCTGAATAAGAGTATAGAAGAAAAATGCGAGAAGAAAGAAAGAATTTTTTAAACTATAAAAGAGATAAACGTCATACAAGAGTCGAATTTAATGGTGCGTAAACATTGCAATGTCCTGAGAGGGAAAAAGAAAGAGAGAGAAGAGGTACCCTTAAGGGTTCGAACCCCCAAATTTTCGTCCAGGAGACGAGGGAAAGAAAGTAGGGGAGGAAACTTTCACGTGCCCCTGTTTGAAACCTTGTAAGTTGATATTTGGAGCAGGTACGACTTCATGAAGAAGCAACAAGTGTCTGCAAATATTGACTCTCATGGAAACTAAGGGGTGACGTTTTTGCGTTGAGAAAAAAAAATGAAAAGGGGAGCATTTGCGGCGAGCGCGCGTGCTGGACTTTCTTTCGAGACATTATTATTATTATTCTTCTTCTTTTGTCCGACTTTTTGCTTTTGAATTAGTAAATTCTGCTAATAAAAATAAAATTACTTTTTAAATTCTTACATTAAAACTGCAAAGTCAAGAAAAATACTTCTATATAAGCAACTAGAAATCCAAACAATTCGTAACAATAATAATTGGTCTATTTGATCAATTTCAAATCCTTTGCGGATTCAATAAATATATCGCCGCAGTAGGGTAAAAAAGAAGAGCATAAAATTCGCGACACATGCGCGCGAGCTTAAAGGGAAAAATAATGATTCGAGTGAATCGGGACATTTTCCTGAAAGGTGAGGTCAAAAGAGAATGACGCGCACATTGAACAGAGGGATAAAAAGTTGGAAACTTTAATGAAGCGGCTCTTTTCTCCTATGTATATAAATATATATACGTGTGGTTGTTGCGCTCATACGCGTTACATATATATATAAAGGCGACGTTACTCGCCGTCGGCGGTCGGCTTAACGTAATTAGGTACAAATGAACGAGGGCCTCTTCGTGTCGTATCGGATCGTTCCTTCGAGAGCTCTAATTACCGCCACTCTGAATTCTCGTTAAAATACCCGGGCAAAAGAGGCAAAGAAAAAAGGAAAAAAGAAAAAAAAATATGCGTTAAGAGTCGAACGAATCACCGCGCGTTCAAGTGTTTTGTTCAGAATCTCAAAGAGAACTAACTTCTCGTGTATATAGAGAAAATGAATTGGTGGGGGGATTTTTCAATTTACTTTATCGGGACAGGGTGTTTTCAAAATGTATTTCTTGCCATTGCGTTTGTTAACCTTAAAAGCTCAAACGACTCTCTCGCTAAAGAAACTCGAGTATGCTTTAATTGAATGTAACTTTATGGTCATGATTCGAATCAGCATTTGTTAATTGCTGGAACTCTTGTTCAAGAAATTAGCGCTAAAACGTTCCTGTTGAATTATTTTATTATAGGATAATTAAGCGTGTTTATTTGATGCTTTTAAGAACAATAATTATACGCGAATAATTGTTGAACGATATGAGAAAAACAATATGTTTCGCATTAAATGATATCTGAAAAAGAATATATTCCATTAAATGATATGAAAAACAATCGACATTATTATGATATAAAATTCTAAAATTCTTTTTTGAAGGAGAAAAATTCTTCTTGTGAATTAAGAAAAAAGGCAGATGGCCTTCGAAACGAGAAGATAGTATCGATTTATGGTGTTTTTGTCACACAAAAAAAAAGAAAACAAGTTTTCGATGAACCATGTAAAACATTCATGGAAAGGTATCTTTTTCCAATAGATGGGAAAATTCTTTCGACTTTTTTAACTTTCTAATTGTGAAAACTAAAAAGATATATAAGGGGTGTGCCCTTGGAACAATCGAACTTTCTTTCTCTGCTTTTTTTAGTTTCTCCGAAAGAATCAATATTCTAAATGAAATTTTTTTAAATGCAGAAGTTAATTCTAAAATTGGTATCTAGAACAAAATTATCAATACTCAAAAAAAGAGAAAATTCAAATTCGAATTTTTTGTTTCAGATGAATCAACAGTGTAAAGTTTGCGGTGAACCGGCGGCAGGTTTTCATTTTGGAGCATTTACCTGCGAAGGTTGTAAGGTGAGGAAAAATATTTTTTTTTTATTTTTACAATAAAGAAGGACTAAATAGTTAAAGTCATGTTTCGAGACCGAAAACTGTTAATTATCCAACGGGTATATAATTGGAGCATTAGACCGTTTCCTCTTGAAAATATTGCAATTATACATCACGTAATTCTAGAGCAAGATTTACATCACAATCATAGCCTTTACAAGTAACCTTCGTTTTTTTTCTCCGTCTATTTTTCTATTCCAAGTTGACAATTTTTATTTAGAGAACCAATCTTTAGATTCTTCCATATACTTAACAATAATGCAAAAAATCATTCACTCAATTGCATCGATTTAAAAATCACCCACTCAACTGCTTAGACAATCAATTTAAAAATCGAAAAACAATTTCGAATATTCAATATTGGAAATTCAAAATCGTTCAAGTGGAAAATGCACCTGAACTTTTTCTTCTTGAATGTCTTGAAATTTTTCCGCGCAGGTATTTTTTTACCTACTGCATATTTGTCGTCTGTTAAAAAAATGGTCAACTCGTCGAAAAAGAAGTGACCTTGTTAAATTGAGCGTGTCGCCGGGTCGTTAAAAAGAAGAGCTATTCTGCAAAACGCGGTGAACTATTCTTGCACAGCGCGGCATAATGTGTATAGAAAAGGAAGATCCGCATGGACGGATGAACATTGAAACAGGTGGACGTGGTGCACGTGCGCAAACGAGAAGCACGCGTAAAACCAGAAGGCGGCTTGTGCTTTAGTCGACGAGACTGGACTCGACTTTGTCGAGAAACGAGCATAAAAGAGCATTAGGGGAGAGAGAGAGAGAGAGAGAGAGAGCAGATTGGAGAAGCAGTCTCGTTAACCAACAGAGAGTCCAGCCCAAGGGTGTTGACCCTTGCTCTCGTCGTCCCACTAATGTGGTACACTGCAAGGAATATCGGTACTGCATACTAAGTGACCCATCCGATAGTAATTGGACCTCATTAGGGCACCCATTCTACCAATTGAATTTACCGACTATCCGAGTTCACCTACACTAAACACATGTCCACTATATTCACTCTAAATTGAAACCCTTTTGCATGCGGTTATCCAGAGTGCAATATGGGAAATAAATTTTTATTCGGAAACGTCAGGGAATTTTATTCCGCGAGTAGTAGTTTATCAACCCTCATAGTAAAAAGCTAACGAATCAGAAGAAAAATTTATCATCTTTCATTGTCGATTGCAAACAAATAAATGTTTCTTCTTCATTATATCGCGACTCTAATATATTTCCAGAATGGTAGAACAATCAAGAAATTTCTTTTTTTATCGAATCCCTTGGCGCCGACTCTCTCTCTCTCTCTCTGTATATAAATGCAGTTCGAAACGAAAGCATATTCATGATTCAGTAACGAACCTTTTGGTTTGGTCGCCAACACGTGGCATCCTAGATGCTCTAGCACCAATTAGAACGACATTCGGAAATATTTTAAATAATTCAGCGGACATTGAAGGGGGGAGCATTATATGGAAGCGGAGGAACTTCCATTAGCATACTAACGACCCGACTTGGATTCTTCGCGTAACATTCGGCCGTGAGTAGCCGACTTCCACTTGTTCTTTCTCTTTCTCCTTTGCGCGTTCATTTCTTTTTTTCTCCTCGCTCTTTTATACCGCCTACCCACTTTGGAATTTTCGTTTATATGCGAATCCTCACAAAAAATATGATCCGATTCGAATTCCATTACCACGACAACGAATTTTAAATCCTTGATTATTTATTGAAAAATTTCCAAAGGGATGAGATTAGTATTAAAATATCTGCGCCGTATTTTTGTTTTAACCAATTCTTTTTCTTTATTCTTGTTTTCTACCGCGATAAATTAAATTCAAGTAATCTAAATGCATATTGTAATGTGTTTTTCAATCGACGAGACTTAAGAGATGAAAAAGTTTCTTTTTTTTCTCCGGCTCATTCTCTTGTGCGAGCGAAGAGGAGACATGTTTGCCATGAATATTTACGCGTTTTGTTTTTTGTCACTGAACCAATTTGCAAAGGCCTCATTTCCGGCGGGCTATCGAATTCGTTAAAAAAAACAACAGACATTCGGGTCGTGAACGCCGTCGACCTTATATGATGCAAATTTCTCTCCTCTCTCTTTATTGTCATCCATTGTTTTTTCACAAATGAACGATTGAAAATTATTCCGATGCGACAAAATAAGAAAAGAGAACAATTACACAAAATTCTGAAAGGGGAAGAGAAAAGCGACAAGTGATTCAGAAGTCGCTTTTATTCATCCGCAAAACAATGGCGACACTTTGACTTATTCATTACCAGAAGAAAAAAAAGGTCGACACACGAAAAGTGTGTCTTTGGAAATACCTGATGCTTGACGCGCTTTATCGTCATCGCACTCAACTTCCGTACAAAGAATCAGGAAAGTCACTTAGCTTCTTAAAAGTCCGGTTTCCGGTTGGAGAAATCCGAAATAGAATAAAATTTTAATAGATATCTGAGATATTTTAGTAGATATTTTAATCGATATTTTGATAGATATTTTAATAGATTTATTGTAATAGATACAATTTTAAAATAGATAAACATTTTTTATTAGATTCCCGGCTCATTTCTTTATCTTTGATTAATCTGTTTCAAAAGCGAACTTTCATTTCGAGGTTCACTGCGCGGTTAATTTCATCTCGAGCGATATATCTAAAAATCTTAACCGAAAGGGGAAAAATGTTTTTTTTCTCCACTCGCGGACATAAGCGATATTTCTCTTTTCTTTTCCCTCATGGTACAATTAGCTTGCTCGTAAACTGGCATTAGGAGGCATAAGAAGGCTCGTGTTTAACACATGGCAAGAATTCAAGGAGAAGAACTTGAGTTACCAACTTCAAAACGACTCGCAATCCCAACTGCGCTATTACTTCTTCTAATTGCACACCATTGAAATACCCTTTCAACTACAATTACATTCCACATCTCCCGATATATATATATCTCATTGTGTTGAACCATTTACACTCATTTCTTGAACCAAATTTAGAATCAAGATTTTGTGTTCATAGTTCTTCTAAGTTTATCCAAATTGAGACAAAAAACGTAGCAAAATTGTTGTTGCGATGCAACAATTTTACTACGTTTCTTGTCTCAATTTGGATAAACTTATAAAAAGTAAAATACTAGAGGAACATGTGCATAAATATTGTTGCATGGCATATGAAGAGAAGAGGAGTAAAAATACAAGAAAGGGATAAATAGGTAAAGAATAAAAAGTATGTCATTAGCATCCGTTTCGCTAAAACCTCTCACACAACAAGCAGCTGTATCGATGCTTATTAGTCGGACATCCGTCAATGATCGACTGGACCGAGTCTATTCATCAGAATGTCGCACGAAAGTGGGAGTGTGACATGTGTCACTTAACAAAAAAAAATATTGACTGTCAACTGTTAAAAAGTGTTTCGTGCACAACTCAGGAATAATATTTCCGTGGGAAGAATTATTATCATTGATAAAAGAATATACATTTGTCCTCATGGATATGTCTCCAGTTTCCGATCGCTCTCGGAAGCGGAGGGCGTTGTCAATGGCCCCTTTTTTGCGGTCGAGATAAAATGTATATAAACCCAAGGGAGGAAACCGCGAACCACATTTTACGTATAAGTGAATTTACACGATTTGCACTCTTCTCTCTTTCTCTCTCTCTTTCGCGTTTGCTCGCATCATTTCATGTTTAAAAAAAAATTTCTTATCCTTCTTCGTGGCGACAGCTGCACTCTCGCAGAATAAGTGTACCACAATATAATATGTGGGCCAAACCACCGACTTTACGATTTACTTTTACGATCCATAAATCGCGAATCTATGAAAGGAACTGTCGATCCAACGAATCGAAATGTGATCGGTCAAGAGAAAGATGGCAGATACATGCCATTTTCGTCTCTGTTGCAACTCGAAAATATACGCGGAGTATATATATATATGCGCGTATAACTTGTATATATACGAAATTACCTAATCATCTCTTCATGATGGATTAAAGAAAACATTATTCCTTTAGTTGCGAGAGTCTCGTAAATTTTCTCATTCTCTTTCTTTCTCTCTTTTTCACACAGTCGGCATTAAAATATCGTAAAGGAGATTCTTTTCAAGTAAAGATTTGTAAAGTTGAAAAGGTGCGCTTTTCCTTCAAAAGGAAAAAAAAAATTCAGTTATCTTATCGCTCACGTTATGATCAAATGAAATCACTGCGCGATTGTGTAAGTGGAGCGTTTAGAGTTGAGAGTTGTGCTCTCATTGGTAGCTTTATCCATAGACGTAATCTTCTAGTTGTGGTTATGCGGTTTGCAACAAAATTGCGCGTACGTTACTTATGGAAAGATTTTTTTCACTCATAAGGAAGAAGAGGTGGGGGGATTTGTTGCTAATTTTCTAAAAAGATTGTAATCTCTCTTTTTTATGTTTCTTCTTCTAAAGAGAGGAAAAAGTTTCTTCTTCTTAAGAGAATAGTTTCTTCTACTGAAGAAAAGAAAAAAGTTTCTTCTTCTGAAGAAAAGAAAAAAATTTCTTCTTCTGGAAAGTTTCTTCTTCTCTAAAACAAGTAGAAGAGACGAGTGTGCACAATAGACAAACACAATTCTGGGGATGCAATCTTGGACACGTAGAGGCAGGTGCCCCAGTTCACGCCGTGTCACCCATAGTCGCGTTTACCGCACTTGACAAATTGAATCGCCCTTGCAAGACGGTATACTTAACATTCAACAGGCAGACGAGGCTCTGCGCAACGACAACGACCTCGCTTTATACTGTCCTGTCTTTCGCGGGCGCGAGATCTTTTCAGAACAATTGACATTATGCAATTCGGTTACAAAAGTGCGCTCGTTATTTCACCTATATAACGCAACACTGCCAATCGCTACTTCTGACTACAAATCCATCTTATTCTTTTCTTCCTTTTACTTCAAGTCAAAAAAAAGAAAAATCACCGCAAAATTAATTTCCTCGAACAAATTCTCCGCT